CCCTGACAAATCCTTTGCCTAAACCAAGAACCAAACAATCAAGTGCCATTGTAAATGAGGACAGAAACCACCAGAGCGAAACCTGGTACCTCCTGCATCCTTTTTCTGGGAGAGAAAACTGATGGTGTTTTTCTTCCTTTTTCAAAACAATCTCCTAAAGGTTGATCTGAGCGCTCCAGTAGAGCAACACAAGGAATGGGTCTCCCAGAAGCCTGTGCCTTAGCACAGGTAATGTGGTTCTCAGCAGACACGGGCAACAGAGTCAGATGGACTGGGCCAAATGCCGACCAGCATTGCTGGTCTCTGAGCAAGTTATCTAACCTCTCTGTGCCTCTGTTTCTCATTTGTAAAATAGATACAAGACCACTTACCTCAAATGTCCTCTGAGAACTTTAAACGGGATGATAACACAGAGCCTGAGAAACAAATAATGTTCCGAATGCATCCGTTTCCTACCTGTCCTCTCCTCTCAGTTCAGTGTACAGTACCTGACTCCAGGTCCCTCCGAGAGGGGGAGGTGAGCCAGGGCCACCTGTCCGCATCTTTCTGCGGTGGCAGTGTTAAAGGCCACAGCCACAGCCACATCATCTCCCTGCCGAGAACACAGTTCTCCGTATTTTCCATCTTCAATGAACCTCAAGTGCCTGGCTTTCTCTCTGCTATGTAGGAATACAGATTGCTGCTTTCCCTGCTATTTTAAATTTGCTTTACATTCTTGTGTGGTGTTTAACATGGCCTGAAGTGGCACAGCAGCATTTTAAGGCAAAAAAAAAAAAATCAAACACTAATAAAATACTGAGTTTCAGCCCTGGCCGCGTGGCTCCGTCGGCTGGAGCATCATCCCATACACCAAAAAGACTGCAGGTTCGATCCCTGGTTGGGCACATATGGGAGGCAACTGATCAATGTTTCTCTCTCACAGTGATGTTTCTCTCTCTGCCCCATCCCATCGCCCCCTTCCGTCCTCCTTTTCTTTCTAAAAATCAACAAACGTATCGTATCCTCAGGTGAGGATTTTAAAAAATTAAAATTCTAAATTTTTTCAATAAATATGCCTAAGGAAGGAGGCGAAGAATGAAAATCAAAAGGCTTTTATGTGAGTCAGCAAGCCAGCTGGGTTGAGACCCTGGACTATGCAAACACAGAAGACAAAGGAGACTCCGAAGTAATCAATCCTTCTTCACAGATCATATTTCACACCTGATCCCCAACCCAAAAAACGACTCTGCACCTTCAGTTTTGTTTTCTAAAGACAGTGTATGACGTCATTTGCATAAAGTCTCCTGCCCAGCATGACTCAACAGTGGGTCACATACCATCTCCACTGTTGTTATTTAGGATTGTTATCATTACGCCACACATACTACACGTCAAGTGCCTTCCAATCATTTTTCATAGTCTACGCACCACGGAACTAGCATCCTCAAGTATCTTGTTTCCATTTTACAGAAGAGACAAAGAGGTCAAGTGATTTGCCTATGGTCATACTGCAAGTTTCTTGAGCTCACAGGTGAAGGGAAGGAGCTGTGAGACCTGGGAGAGGCTGCTACATGGCTGGGACCCCAATTCCTCTCTAGCCCCAGCAAAAGGCAAGCTGGGTAGTATGAGCACAGATCTCATTTTAAATTCTGATCTTCCCCTGCGCAGTGTGACCGGTGTAAAGAATAGATAGGCTTCCTTTTGCCAACCTAAAAAGGGAACTTTCAGTCATTTCTCTCATCTCTGCTAAAGGAACGACCTAGGGGGAAGCAAGACCCAACGCCTAACACCTTCTCCTTTGTCACAAATCCCGAACTAAGAACAAGAGAACCCGGGATGGAAAACTGAACTTCAAACATGACATAACTTTATTCCAGAACTCTGATGTGTGTCTTCATAAGTGAGTCTTTTCTTATAAACCTAAGCAACTATGACCAAGCCTAGGGTATTTATGACTCGAGAGTATGCAGATGAACTGCACCCCGGAATATGCCCACTTTGCTGATGTCCGGTGGGCTCCTCACAGGCATGAATATGTATGTACACACAGACATACTCAGGGTCTACTACAGACCACTGGATAGCAAGGCTGTGTACTTCACAGGCACCCCATTTTAAAATGCCTCTGGACTGGGCATTCACGGGCAGCTAAGAAACAGGAAGGGGAGGGCGAGACCTTTCCTGAACTAAACTGCCGTTCCCTGACTTTGGAGCATCTGAGAACACCAGTTCTTGGCAAGCTTGAGTGGCATGTTGCTCGCAGCCGTCGGGGCCGTACAGGTGTGCTCTGGATTTCGGGCCAAGAAGCGGGCACCTTCTTCCCCCAGAAACCACTCCAGAGAGAGGGAAAAACACTGGCAGCAACTTGGTGCGCTGGATCTAAGAAATGGCACAACTCCTTCCCCCGCCTGCACCCTGCTCTGTGCCAGTACACATGTTTTGTGGGAATTAGAAAGACAGGGCTGGGAACAGCAGCAGAGGGAAGATTCTCTGCAGATGGGGGAGGGAGTGAAAACAACAGAGCCAACTTTCCCATCCCGGGTTGAACCCACACTGTAGACATATTTTTCCACACTGTAGAATAATAATCCCTTTATCCAGCCAGGCTGCAACCATCAGTCCCTGATAATTGATTTCAGACTTTAAATGGAAACTTGGGAAGGTGTGGATAGTTGGAAAATGGGAAGAGGCAGGGGTGAGGCCCATAAAAAGGAGGGTGTGGTGGAGGGGATGACTTAGTGAAGACAAGGAAACTGAAGACCTCGGACACGGAAGGCAGACCCTAATACTGCCAGGGAACAAGCCAAGACAGCCTCCCCAATGGAGTCTTGGAGGGGGACGGTCATGGTAACGCGCCAGGCACTGGGCCACGTTCTGGCCCTGGCCCTGAGACCCTGGGCAAGTGCACAGCCTCTCGGGTCTGTCGGCGCTCCAGACCAGTCCCAGCTTCCTTCCTTCCTGCTGGCCGTCATTCCATTCACACGCCCACTTGCTGAGCACTGTTTGTTCCGGGCCAGGGTAGAATGGCAAATCTATTCTATGAAGGGCAAAATATTTTAAAGTCTAAGTATTTGAGGCTTTGGGGGCCATGCGGCCTGCGTCGCAACAACTCGACTCTACCACTGTAGCACAGAAGCAGCATAGACAGTATGTGTGTGAATGAACTCTGCCATCTTCCAAAAAAAACTTTTTATTATGGGTATTGAATATGAGTTTCATACAATTTTTATATACTGTAGAATATTATTCTTTTTTTACTTATTATTCTTTTTTATATACTGTAGAATATTTTTTTCCAATTTTTTAAGAATTAGAAACCATTCTCAGCTCACAGGCCGCAGAAAAACAGACAGCAGATAGGATCTGGCCCGTGGTCCAGTTTGCCAACTTCTGCTCCAGGGAAACAGTGGTGAGCAAGAGAGGGTCCCCGCAGCCTACGGGTCCGCACCTGCCACTCTAGAGGCCTCCTCTGGCTTTGGAGTGGCCTGTGAGTGTAGGCCCTGCTTACTTTTGTTGCACATTGGTGTGGGCTGGCCTTCCATTCTTCTGAAATCTCACATGACCATGATGTCCACTCTGTGGGATCCCAACCACCAGAGGCCCCATTGGTTGTGCCAGGGGCTCCTCACAGCCAGCGAAGTCTCAGGCTTATGGGAAAGGTTTATGTTAAGTGTCAGAATGAGGTAAATGAGAGGCAGAAGAGGAAATCTGTATGTGGGTGGTCAGGAAAGCTATGATGGAACAAAACAAATCAGTAATTGTTTCTCCCAACAATTTGGGAGAAAAAAGTAAGACTAAATGAGACAGCACCATTATTCTGTATGTGTTGGATAAATGGGTGGTGGGAGTTAACAGAAAGGGAATGAAAGAGAGAGTGCTGAGCTATGGAGACTCTTAAAGCCACACTGTATCACATCTGCCTCCCACAAAGTCCCTTCTGAAATCTAGCTGAGATCCCACTCTAGAGAACACTGGCCAAAGAAAAGTGCCATACACGTGTATCTATGGAACTCCGATAGGGGCACCATTATTAATGGGCTCAATCATCACTGAGACCCCTACCAGTGTTTGCAGATACAGAGGCAGGTTCTGTAGCATCACCAAGAGGCCTACAATACACAGCCAAATATGCCCTTTCTAAAAGGGTACCAGGTCTAGAGGACCTCATGAAGAGAACCTAGAAGGGTCTTCAGAACACTGCTGAAGGCAGCAAAGACCATACAAACATCAAAGGCTCACTACTGCGTTTATAGCCCTGTTAGGTAGGGCTCCTCTGGCTTACGATCTTCAACCAGAAAGTCCTTAGAACCATGAAAGTATAGACTGAAGGCGCTAGATGCGTCCTTAAAGGTCATCCAGGCCAACCCCTTCATGTGACAGAGAATGTCACATGAGAATGAGTAAGTGGCTTGTCCAAGATCACAAAGTTTGTGGTGTCAACGACCAGGGCTGCTTCACTAACTTACAACACCTGCATTCTTTACTCATTCTGAGAAAAACAACAGAAGGACAAGAACCGACTGATAAAAGAGCTAACAATCAGCGAGTGTTACTGTGCTATCTCAGTCCATCTCACAGCCACCTCGGGCACTGGTATTTAGCCATTCTGCAGCTGAAGAACCCGAGGAGTACATAACTCAAGTCTTGGTCAGGGTCCCAGCAGCAGCGAGCAGCAGGACTGGGTTAGGAACCCTGGCAGTCTGGCACCACAGCCGGCACCCTCCCCTGTACATCGCACTTTGAATCTCTCCCCTCCATCCTGCCTGATAATTACAACAGCAGGGAGCAGGGTGATGACACCGTCAAGAGAAGAGTCTTCCATCCGGGTCACTAGGCCCCTTGGTGGCGCACCAGCAATACTGGTCTCCTGCTACACCGCAGCACAAAGGTCTCCCCACTGGGCTCTCCCTGTAACTGCCTGACGGACAGAGAACCCTCTATCCCAGCTTTTGGGGGCAACGAGGGTATTATTGTGTCCTGTATCCCTTCCCTCCCACAGACAGAAAGCAGGCCGGACTCACCTGAGGCAAGCCCGTCTCCAAGGAGGGTGCTAAGGATCACCAGTGGAAGGAACACTCCATGTCCCACCGAGGCCGCGGCAGACGCTGAGGTGCTCTTTGGTGCTATCCTGCCATGGCACATCTTTTATCCGTCCGAGTTATTTTAAAAGGAAGAAAATTAAAAGCCAGAAGAATTCTAAAGTCAGCCAGGGGTAGATTCACCTGTAGAAAACAAACAAAAAACAAAGGCATGAATGAAGTGAAAACTTTACCCATGTGTTAGTTACAAGCAGGCACTTCGGTAAAGAAGCCATAAGCACACTCAGAGTTGAAAGAATTCTAGCAACCGACTTCCTACTTTCAGAGGAAGACACAAGCACATAAGTGGCTTTTCAACTCCTTCCTGGGGAAATACCAGGGCCTGAAACAGCTGCCTGGGTGTAGGCATGTAGGAGCCGGATCCTTGAGACAGGACAAGGAGACAGCTCACCAGACAAGGACCGGCTCACCAGCTCTCCTGGAGATCAGCGGGACACCGCGAAGCTTTCCAACATGGCCGGGCTCTGCCTGACAGCCTGCCTCAGAGGCTGCAGCAGTGAGGAGGAGAGAGGCAGCCGCTGACACAGAGCTGCTACACCAGAGTCTGGCTTTGCATTTGCCGCTTGTACTCAGAGTAAGTTCAATTTAACCAGGAGAGAGAAAGAGAGAGAGAGAGGGAGAGAGAACACACGCGTGTCTGAAAGGGAGAATACACTGCCTAGAGAAGGAATGCGGCAGTGAGAGCCAAGGGCCCCCAGCTTGGCAGGCTCAACTGCCTAAGGCTAGACTAGCCCCTGAGGATGTGGCTCTGACTTAAGAGCTCACAGGTGACCCCAGAGGCCATATGGGTTGACTGGGCCTGCCGATGAGTGGTGGCAGGACAGCTGTAATTGTTAATAAGCCTCACCACCCACTCTAGTTCAGAAAAAAACTTCAGAAGAGCAGGCAGCGTAAAAAAAAAAAATCAGGGGTTAAGACTTTTAAGGAAGTTTTTCTCCAGGCCTTTAGGGAAGCAGTTGGCTTGATGATAGATACATTGTGATATGGGCCTATTATATTTTACTTATCTCATTTGATTTCATTTATTCTAGTTTATAACATGTATTCCAAATAGTAAGATTACATTTCCTTTTTTATTTTAATTCCATACACACCTCCTTCCCCATGAAAAAGACCTTATGTGAACAGACGGGGAAGCCTACCACCTGCAATCTCAGTAAAGGACACCCCTGAGACTCGGTCAGAGATTACTGAGAGCTGATTTTAATCCACGTCTGCAGCCCTGACTCAGGCCCACGCTCCCCTTATAAAAAGTTACTGCTAACAGCAATGTGCTGCCCCAGTCCAGAGGAAAAGCAGCTGCCTGGGGTTTAAGAACAGAGCTGCCCCTGAGACCTTACCCACTGCCCACAAGTATTTGTGACCACAGTCCTCTGTTCCTGGCTCTTACTCAGACTCCACCTTGAGCCTTTACAGTTGTTCAACAGGATGGTCCCCGGAGAGGTCTAGGGGTGGTGTCTGTGAGTGACCCAAAACAGTACATAAAACTACGTGTGTGTGAATGTGTGGAATGTGTGTACATTTACATGGCTAAGAGCCACAGAGGCAGAATGCCAGAATCCAAATGTTTCTTCTGTTATGGCCAAATTACTCTCCAGCCTTGGTTTCCTCATCTGCCAAATGGAGACAGTAACCCTGCATCTTTACAGCGTTGATTAAAGGATTAGGATCAAAGTACTTGACACAGAGCCTGAACTTTACAAGTCCTCCGTAAACCCTGGCTGCTGTTGCTACTGTAATAATAATAGTATCTGAGCTGGGGGAGCTTGGAGGTTATCAGGCTTCGCCTTCTCATTTGACAGATACCAAGCCAGGGTCTGAAGGATGTGCCCGGGGCCACCAGCCAGTCAGCACTGGGCCCTTCGGTGCCTCTGTTTTACTTGCAGCCACTGCAGGCAACACCACCAGCAGTCACCATTCCCTCGAGGCAACAACCAGTGGATCATCGACAATGACACCTGCTTGTGTCACATTCCAGCACGTGCACAGCAAATATTTCTGCAGTGAATGGACGAGGCCAGATCAGAGTGGTGCCCAGGAGTTCAGTGTGGGAGCGGAAATCATCAGGAAAGACTGCTCAGGGGAGGTGACGCCAGCTAGAGTCACTGCTGAAGGACGTGCCTAATGAAAAAGGAGATACCAAATACAAGTGCATCAAAGCAATGGGAGCACAGCCCCCCTGGCGGAGGATGGAGGCAGAGGCTTGGCTAAGGAGTCTAACCTACACCCTGAGACCACGTAGAGCTTACAAGGGTTAGAGACAGAAAAGTGACAACACCAAATTCATTTAGGAAGCTCATTCTGACAGGGATTTTAGAGGACTGGGGGAGAGGGAGAAGCTACATGGTAAAGAATCTTAAAGTTATTATTTATAATTAACGCAGTGCTCTTTGATAATATCTGTCAAAACGCACATATTCTCTAACTTGTCGATTCTGCTCCTAGAATCTGCCCTCAGAAATCTCACGTGCACAGTGATATGTATACGCAGGATGTTCACTTCATTGCAGGGAGGCTCATTAAATACGCTGCCGTACACTCATACAGTGAATACTATGCAGTGGTTTAAAAAGAACTGGGCAGTTTGGTCTGCAGTGGTGTAGAATGACTTCCAAAATTAGTATGTGAAGAAAACCATTTGTGTATATATGTTTAAAGGACACCCTCCCCCATCACACCCGCCATGTGCATTGAAAATCTCTCTGAAATAACGCACAAGATACCCGTAGCTAATAACTGCCTTCAGGAAAGGAAACTGAGTGGTTAAAAGAGAAGAAAACTAATTTTTCACTGAGCGTATTCCCTTTCAATCTCCTCGAGTGTTGCGCATGCACTATCCACTTAAACAGATAAAATATAAAACAGTCAACGGGGCAAGGTCACCCTACTGACCACCTGCTTCCTTCCTCAACAACTGACACTCGGAGAAGCCCGACTGTCCCCTCCGACAGGAACACAGTCACTCTCAGGGTGCACGCAGGGCCGCCTTCTGGAAGAATTCTTCTCTGGCACTTCAGGCCACGCCCACCTCCGGCGCAGCCAGCCCTGTTCTCCCGCACCCACTCACTATGGACGTACTTGCTGTGCACGTGCTGTGACGTGGCACAGGCAGGTGTCCTTCTCGATGACCCACTGTTGGCAGCCCTGAGGGAACAGTGACCGCCTGGCAGGGCCACCTGCTGTGGCAGCACCTAGAGGAGCCAGTGCAGAACTGGGGAGAAGACGTACACCCATGAACTCTTGTTTTGTTTTTAAAGAAACAGCTGGCTCCTCCCTTACGGCCAAGGGACCAATTCCACCATGAAGCCTAAAACCTGACCGAGTGCAGAATGAATGGAGTGAGGACAACGGGGGCTTTGCACAGGAAAAAGATGAACTGGGAGGGCAGTCAGTGGAGCATGTACATGCAACTCTGGCCAAGGGTCAGCGCTTCGGAAATAACACAGAGAACAGTGAATCCCCACCACCCCGGGGTGTCGCCCACAACACGAGAATCCAGCTACTGTGGAGAAAGGGTCACACTACACATCTAATAACTCTAAGAAAGGCTCTGCTTTGAACACAGGAAGGAAGGGAGAGACAGAGGGAGGAAGGCAGGAGGCCTGTCCTTGAATTGTGGCTTTAGACCAAGTCAAAAGAAAAACACATTAGAACAAATTATCCCTAGAGAAACACATGGGCAAAAACTTTGGAAAAAAAAGAATACCTTTCACTTCAGTGTTCCTTTAGTGTGCTAGTGACTACTTCCCCTAATTTAAAAAAAATATGATTGAGTAGAGACAGAAAGTAGAATCAGGGCATCAGGAGGGTGGAATAGGAAGCTACGTTGTTTAACGGGAACAGAGCTCCAGTTTGGCCAGATGAGAATCATGAAGGTGAACAGCAGGGACGATCGCAACAACCCTGCTTACTACTACTGAATTGTGTGCACACTGAAACATGGTTAGGATGGTCAATTCTGTGTGTATTTACCACAGTTTTTAAAAAAAAGGAAAACATTAAGATTAAAGAGGAACCAGGAACTAAGCTCTATGTTCGAAACCGGCCCAGTCTTACAAGGCACATGCCACCCACACTGACAGGTGAGAAGAGGGGAGCCAGCCTGGGGCGACGGACAGTAAGCCCCACCCCTGCCACCAGCCACAGGGCTGGTCAGGACGCTCTGGCTGCCATTTCCACATCTAAAAGGCTCTAAAGTTTCTCTCAGCCACAGAATTCTTTCCAAACTTCTCTTTGGGTAAGCTATCTCTTCCTCCAGCAGCCGGCTCTCCCCTCCGAAACATGGAGTGAGGAGTCACGGCAAATCTGTGTTCACCCTTATTTTCTTTCTTGGGATGAGTGCAGCTGCCTCGATAGAATATGGTAAAGGGAGACCCCACGAGCTACCCCGTCAGCCCCTCAAGGGCAGGGTCTGGCCCTTCCCACCTCTGTAGAGCCACAACACCAAAAGCTGGGTGATGTGCCAGGGTGAATGTGATGTCATGATCCATCAGATCCTGTCCACAACGACCCTCCAAGGGAAAGAACACTGCCCTGAAGCCATGGCTCGAATCTTGGGGAAGCCACTGACCTCCTCTCTGCCCTTTTCCTCATCTGTAAGTTGGGGTGTTGGTTGCTTTGAATATCTCACTAGTCTCCAGTGAGGCTCAAAGAGACACAGTATGAGGAACTCTATACACTGGAAAGACTTGGGTCTTTCTACATGTAGGCTGAGCCCCGAAGCAATGATGGCAGGAGGCTATCTGGGAAACTTCTATCATAAAAGTGATGACAAGTATGGGGGGTTTATGGTGTTAAGGTCAACCTGGAACACTATTCCCACGGTCTGCTTGCTTGCTGTTGCCATAGATGCTTCCAGGTTAACCAGAGAGACTCCTAAGATTAAAGGTGCCCTGGAAGTCACCTTCAAAAGGAGGCAGCAGCAATAGGTGGGGCCAGCCATGAAAGAACAAGGACACCAGTCCCCTGGACACCCCGGGGCCCAGATCTCCTCAGGCCACGTGGCTGGTTGCACTGGGGGTCTACCCTGCAGAGAAGGCCACAGTCCTGCTGGAGGAACAGGTCTGGGTCGCACTCTAGGGAGCTCTCCTCTGGGGGGCATGAGGGTCCGTATGTCAAGGCTG